AGGAGGACAGGAACAAGTCCTTGGATATTTTAGTAAAGTTCTTTCAAAATCTGAGCGAAATTATTGCGTCACGAGAAGAGAACTTCTAGCAGTAGTGAAATCAGTAGAGCATTGGTTAATGCAGTTTAAGAATCCAGAGGGTCAGACAGCCAGATGGATCGAACGACTCCAAGAATACGATTTCAAAATTGAGCACAGGGCCGGAGTTAGCCACAGAAATGCTAATTATCTTTCCAGAAGGCCATGCCCAGCAAAGTGTTCCCACTACAACAAAAGGGAATATAAGGAAGCAGCAATGCTAATAACAACGATGATCAACGACGACTGGACGCCTACTAAGATAAGGGAAGAACAAGAGAGAGATCCAGTTGTACACAAAATTTAAAAATGGAAAGAGGAAAACCGTCGACCATCTTGGGAAGAAATGTCAAACCTATCCTCAGTAGTTAAGACGTATTGGTTCCCGTGAGACTCATTTATCATGGAAGATAGCTTGCTCAAACGAGCACTGTAAAATGATGGCGGCTCAGAGAAGAGAAGGCAGTTGGTGATCACAAAGAGCAGAATAGCCGGAGTTCTTCGTCAGTTACACGATAGTCCATCAGGAGGGTAATTGGGTGTAAAGAAAACCCTTCAGCGAATTCGGGAACGGTTTTGTTGGATGAACAGTTCCGACGACGTTAAGGACTTTTCTTTTTCATGTGCTGTGCTTGATTATCGAGCGTTGGCTATCAAATTGGCTATTAGTAATTTTGTTGACAGCAGCTCGAAAAAGAGATGCAGAGAATCGCTTAAACCCATCTAGAACATACCCAGAATCTATAGAACACATAACATCTCACTAATCTAATTTTCAGACTAAAAGTAATATTGTTTCCACATAACAGTTTCTTCAAATTAAATAATGCAGCTCTCTCTTTCTCTATCCGTATTCTAATTTCTTTGCTCGTATCCCAGTTCTCATTTAGATTACAACCAAGGTAAGTGATACTGTTAATTCTCACCATAAGCTGTTACCACTTCCGGTTGTATTGGCGTTTTAGAGCTCCTATGAGACAATATAATGCTGGAGGCCCGTTGGAAAGAATAGCTTTAGACATTGCTGGGTCATTTCCAGAAAGTGAAAATGGAGGCAAGTACATGTAGGTAGTAATGGATTACTTCACTAAGTGGGTCAAGATTTACGCACTTCCAGACCAGAACGCCGTCACCATTGCAGATAAGTTGATCAAAGAATATATCTGCCGATTTGGAGTGTCTTTGGAGATCTATAGTAACCAAGAAAGGAACTTCAAAAGCAATATATTCCAAGGAATATGTGATAAACTAGGCATGAAATAATACAAGAACTACAGCCTATCATCCGCAATCGGATGGTATGGTAGAACGGATAAATAAAACAGTTGCCAAGTATTTAACAAAGATAGTGTCCGATCATCAGCGAGACTGGGACCAATATCTTCCGTCCTTCACAATGGTCTACAGATCTGCTTTTAACGAATCAACAGACCAGACACCAGCCAGAGTCCTATTCGGACGCGAGATGCGACTACCTTGTGATCTAAAGTTGTTTGGGTGTCGACCTAGAGAAGATGTAGCAGGTAAAGATTATGTAATCAAATTACGAAGAAGAATGGACGATGTACACGAGTTGGTCCGTTTCTATCTTTAGATCACTAGCGACCGAATAAACAAATGGTACGATACGCAAGCCGAAAAGGGGTGCTTTAAGAAGAACGACAAAGTCTGGCTCTATAATCCCAAGAAGCGAAAAGGCTGTTCTCCCAAGTTGCAGCAGTTTTGGGAAGGTCCATACCTCATTATGAAGAAGATCGACGATGTTATCTACGGATTAAGCAAGATTCCGAGGGTAAAGCCGATGATAGTACACCATAACCGGTTGGCGTCTTTAGAAGGTGACCACGACGTAGATGAAGAAGTGTAAGTAAACCAAGTCCAAGATGTGTCTGACCTCACGTTTGAGGAATTCTTGGGGGCCTATAGAGGTACGGGTAAAGCAAGACATGGTGTTATCACTGAAGAAAAGCACGATCTACTCGCGCTTCTCGATGACTACTCACTGGCTCTAACCATCACGGTCAGTATCAAAGACGCACCAGGTTTGGCATCCGTCTTTCGAAGGAAGTTCGGTCGAGTTGCAGAGCTTTAATGACAAGTGCCAGCTCTCAGGAAATCCTTGAAATTCCCAGATGCATCACGTTACATTTTTTGAACATTTACTTCAATTGAGACAGCACGTACTAGAGTCCACCGTGCAAAGGTTAGGCATTCCAAAGTAGGAGTGCCGCCAATTAGATTGGAGGGTTATCTCAAGTATGGTGGAGGAGATCTTTAGAGATACCGAAGTCCAGGTGTTAGTCTGAGGAGGAACCATATTTTAAGAGGGGGCAATGCGATAAATATGACTCATACCCTAAGCTGTAAACATATTTTTCTAACAAGAATTTTTTAGTAGGTAATATCCACAGGTCCCCTCTGCTAAAAACTGTCTGGCTTCCATGGCATTCGAGAAGGATAAGGAAGGGTCACCGGCCGATTCTAGGGAACTCCAAATAACAGTTATTTAATATAATAGAGAACTTTTTATTGTAAATAGTTCGTCGAAGAAGAATAATTATATTGAATCGAGTTTGAATTGTAAAGCGGAAGTAGTTGGAAATAAATGTAGTAAATAAATTATTCGAACGAATTCAGCGACAAAAACCAAAAACCAATGTACTTAACTTTGACGATATAAACATAAAACATAACATTAAAAAAGAATTTAACAATAGAATAAAAAACATCCGGGAACAACTAGAAGATCCAAAAGAACTATAGAAGAGTGAATTTAAAAACCAAGTTAACGAAATCTGCACAAAAAATGATTATAGAAAAAACTTAATCAAGAAAAAAAAGCTGGATGGCAGACGACATCTTGAAATTAGTAGAACAACGTCGACTGATAAAATTTAATGTAACAGAATATAGACACCTGCAGAGAAAAATAAAATGGAGATCAAATTAGTCAAAGAAAAATGGACGAGAGAAAGGTGCGACGAAATGGAGGATGTAATATCTAAACACGACTTATTTAATGTGCACAAAAAACTGAAAGAAATGAGTAATATATTTAAAAAAAAATCGAGTTTCCTGTGTACTTGTTGACACTAAGAACAAAATAATTGTAAATGAGTAAGAAATACGAAAATAATGGCAGCTGTATATATCAGAGTTGTTTGAAGATGGCAGGAATAATATTGTCGAATTCTAAATCTTGTGGTCCAGATGATACACCCACTGAGTTGCTGAAACTAATAGAGAATGATAACATAAAAGTAGTAGTAAGACTTTTTAATTCAATATATAACACCGGAGTGATTTCCGCAGATTGGCTCAAATCCATCTTTATCGCAATACCTAAAAAACACAATGCGAGAAAATGCTATAATATCGATTAATTAGCCTAATGTGTCACACTGTTAAAATTTTCCTCAGAATACTTCACAAAAGAATTAGACGCAAATGCGAAAAAGATCTTGAAGATACCCAATTTGGTTTTAGAAATGCTATGGGAACCAGGGAGGCACTTTTTGCGCTTAACATCGTATTAAAAAAATGCCGTGACCAAAGAGAAGATGTATTTGCATATTTCGCGGACTTCGAAAAGGCATTCGATAAAGTACAGCATGTAAAATTAATGCAAATACTAAAAAATATCGGAATAGATGACAAGGATATTCGTGTCAATAAAAATTTGTACTGTAATCAAACTGCTATCGTAAAAATTGGAGATAACTACACCGATGAAATCCCCATACAACGAGGAGTCAGACAAGGTTGCATTTTGTCGCCAACATTGTTCAATGTTTACTCGGACCAGCTATTTAAAAAGGCACGGGAGAGACAACCATATGGAATAAAAATCAACGGGGAACTACTTAACGTGATTAGATATGCAGACGATACAGTAATTCTATCAGATAATATTGAAGGTCTTCAAATTCTGCTTGATCGTATTCCAGAGGTAGGAGAGGAAATGTGCATTAAAATAAACTTAAACAAAACCAAATTTTTATTGTTTAGTCGTGACCCACATCCCGATGCAAAGCTTAATTGAACGCAGTCCAAGTTGAGAAAGTTCACAAAATGACATATTCGGGAACTGTGATAACGGACCAACTAGATCCAGACATAGAAATAAAATGTAGAATAGCAATGACTAAAACTACTTTTATGAAAATGAAGTCATTTCTTTGCAATAACCATTTCAATTTAGAACTAAGGCAAAGAATGGTTAAGTGCTATGTTTGGTCTGTACTTTTGTATAGTGCAGAAGTGTGGACGCTAAAAGTATCGATTATGAACAAAATTAAAGCATTGGAAATGTGGGTTCATAGACTAATGTTGAAGATACCTTGGGCAGCAAGAAAACCTAATGAAGAAGTACAAAGGAGCGTCAACAAAGACAGAGAACTGCTAAAGACTGTTAAACATCGAAAAATGTCTTATCTGGGACATATAGTAAGGAGAAGTCTAAATAAAATTTTACAACTGATCCTTAAAGGCAAAATAGAGGGCCGTAGAGGTGTAGGAAGAAAACAAGTTTCTTGGTTAAAAAACATTCGTGAATGGACTCAGATATCAAATGCAGGACAATTATTCCATATTGCAGAAGATCGAGAAGCCTTCGCAATGGTGATCGCCAACGTCGGATAGTTCTGATATGCCACGCGAAGAAGAGAAATCAATTATATAAATTGGAATAGTGTCAGTGGAAAATAAATTACTGTAAGATTATATATAGATTAAATAAATAAAGACTCTAATAAACTATAATAAAATAGTTTAGTAATGTTGTGGGTAATTCCCAACAAAAATAGTAAATATAAGTAGGTAAAAAAGAAAAATATATATAGTTGCGTATGTATAGTTTATCTGATTCAAAATATAACCTTAAGATCATAAAAAAATATAAATGCATAAATAATTATTGTTACCTATTGTGCCTGGCTTCATTTTTTGTAGTTTTTTTCTGAACTTCACTTAATTTTTGAACGGTTTCGTTTCACATACCCAGTGCTACCAAAACCACTTGTATTTTAAATCGATAATATTAAATTAATCAGTTAAGATTTTTATTTATTCTGATAACAAAGAAATCATAATTGATATACAGAATGATTTACTATAACAAGATTATCTTTAAACTAAAAAATTGCTCATTCACAATGACGACCCATCTTTTTCCTAAGAGGATCGCTTCCACCAGACGAATTAGTTATTATTTGTGTACTTAAGGGCTATGAGCCCTACACTTGTAAAATCTATCAAAAATGAACAAACATATTTTTATTTATGGCATCAAAGACGGTATAAGGCGAATAAAAGATAGAGCTGAAGTGGAGATAAATTGTTAATAACGAAATAACAATGAACATTTTGTATGAACAGCCTACTATGTCGACTTCAACAGAAAATATTTACCTTTTTGATACCAAAAACATTGATTTTGAAATTTGAGGATACTCTCTTGGTACCAATGTTATTTTGTTCTTTAGTACTTAAAACTGAATGAAAAAGTAGTGCCGCTACTGGAAACAAAGGTAATCACGTCTCTCTTTTAAAGAGACACGTGAAATTTTAAAAATTGAATGAACGAATGGGCGAGGGATTTTTGAGTGTAAAAATTTCGCGATTTATAATCATTGTAGAATCTGTTCAAAATCACCTACAAACCTTTTTAAAAAATGAAGATTTTTGTTATACTTTTAAAATATTATCTCGAAAGGGGATTGCACGATTTTTATAGATTTTGGACTGTAAGGCATCTTTTTATTTGATGCGACCATGGTGCTATTACGTTGTTGCCAGATCTTCCGTTTTTTCTGGAAATCCAAAAAATTTTATTATTTCACATGAATCATCCTGCATATTTTTCGCCTTTGTAGGTATATGTACTATATACCTCTCACGTTGTTTGATTTGATGTGTCATATGTCAGTAATACGCTAGTTGTTTATTTTGTAATTAGTCAGAAGCCCTTTTCGGGCCAATAAAGCAATATATATTTTTAGTGGATTTTCTTGGGCATAGTTTCATGAAAAAAAGTTTATTTGATACTAAGACATTTTCATATATTTTTTCGACATTTCGGCAGGAAATCCATGTCTTTTTCAAGAAGTAATATTGACAAGCATGTAAATATTCGGTGCTAACAAGTAGACGTCACAATTAAAATAATATTAAAAAGATAGGACATACCCACTAATTCACTACATGTAAAAAATATATATCGATAAAAGAGCAAAATCTCTATCTGAAGATGAAAAGCTATGACCGAAAACTAAATAACTATACCCATTGGCTACGAAGAAAATAAACATTCGATTTTTCAATTGCCCTGCACAATTGTCGCTCCATATAAATAGTTTTCGCTTATAAGTTAAAAGCTGTCCTGTATTCAAGGCTTGTAGAAGACATGATGCAATTTAGTTTCCACCATGATCCGACCGTCCTTCATGCCAGATGCACATTATCCAATCTGACGTATCTTTTACGTGTATTTCAAAATTGTAGCATGACAATTGGTGGCTGTAAGAGTGCCATGGTAAGGTATCACTACCTAAACGAGCACTGCTCGTACTATCTTCTTGAATAACATTAAGAGCTTTACCTGTTTTTTATGATGTCATTTTAACACAGTTTTAGCTCTTCTGGATACATAAATGTCTTTTTCCTTGCTTCTTAAAAAAAGAAATCACAAGTCTTGCAGATGTCAACTCTAGGTCTTCTACAAGAAAGATTTGGAAAATCCATCATACCCACTCTCCTACAAAATTTGTGTGTTGTGGTACAGTCAGGATGTTTTATTTTAAAAGCGTGGAATGGCTTATTAACTGAGATATTCTTTTTCACTTTTTGATCGACTGTAGTGGCTCTCGTCCCTCGGGAAGCTATTGATGTAATCTTTTACCATCTGTCTATCATAAATAGAGTACTTAAATTTTTTAATGCCTCGTTCATCCTTGAAGGTTGTGTGCCCCTCCTTTTTACGCCTAACAAGCGTAGTAATCTTTTGTGGACTAATCTGTGGTTCTAATGAATCATAATAACTACCATACCGGCGACGCTGAACTGGTAAAACTTGCAATAGTCCCATAAGATAGCTGCCTTATTCATTGAGTCCATAATACAAGTCGAAAAGCTTAATCTCCATGTCAATCACGTCCTGCATCTAAATTTACATTTGCATGTGATCAACAAAGCCAAAATAACAATAAAAAGAGTTTTAGGTTGTAATATCGAATATCATTGGTAGCTATTCTCAAGTTAGACTATCGTACGACCTAAAATTTCAAGCAAAATATCTGTTAAAATGCTCGTACTAACCTTATGTTTTGGAACGGATTTTCCAGGTTTTTGCAGCGTTTATGTTTGTGTAACATAGGGTTTTTCACTCAATCTAGCTTCACTCTGTTTTTTCTTCCTTTTTGATTTCGTATTCTTTTGTCGTCAAAGGCACTAGAATCCATAGCATTTATGTTAAAATACATACACAATAATAATTGATAGTATTGAAAACACGTCAACCTATATACTGGCACTTAGATCACAGAATACAAAACCCAAGTTGGGTGGTGTATTCTGTGCTTAGATCAATTAGCAAAGTACATGACGCCGGACTTACAGGCGGCTCCATTTTTGGGCTTTGTTTGTAACCATTAGAGCGAAGTTGGCACTTAGATCTCATAAGGGGATATTGACATCGGAACATAATGGCCTCAGCCACTTCATTTGTATCAGACCTTGATTTTTTACCACGGCTAAATAACTGATAAATACATCAAAAATGTCTAAGGAGCACAATGCTTTTTTTTTCATATAAACACATAATTTTGATTGGATTTTAAACAGTGACATACCGTTAGAATACTTAACATTAACAAGTCAACATTAAATTCAGTATAATTTTAGTGTACCTACTATGATTTTTTATGGCAAAATAATCAAACAAAAGTTATGCAGTGCTTTAATTTAATGTAAATTTTTAACATAAAAGTCAATGTAAAATATATAAATCTAACAAAAAATGTGTTTAATAATCTGTATTTCCTTCAGCACCAATAATTTTGGTCTAAATGATCCTTGCCATGCTTAAAATTAAATTATCAAATAGGTAAAGAAATAATAAATAAGACTTACAATCAATTTAATTTAACTATCAGACGACCGGTTTCGCTTTCTACAATATGCAAAGCATCCTCAGGTCTCGATACAAAGTTAAACAAATGCTGAAATAATAAAACCCATATTAGGGTGTTGTCTAATAACGATAAACAAAGTAGAGGTTGTAAATTACTATAATTATGCCAATATTACATGTCTGTGGTTTTATTTAAAAGAGTAAGTTGAATAAAAAGTATAAAAGTTTTAAAAGTTTAAACAGACCCGGTAAGGTCCACAAATTGTTATAAAATATTCTCTTCGATTGTAATAAATTAATAAATGAGCAAATAAATAAAATAAACATTACTTACATGCCGGTACTCTATTAATTGATAGATAGTAGAAATGGTTAAAACTACTATGTATTGTTGAATGGAGAACTCAATTCTATTATTGCAGTTGTTTAACAGTAAACGGGAAGTTCTTGAGGAGATAGATTTGATCCAATGCAGAAGAGATATGTGTGTGATTGTTTGTTAAATGAAAGTGATGTAATATACCATTGTGTTATTAAAAGTTATTTATACTTATTCGAGAGATATATTTATGAAATGTGTGTTATTTATTGAGTAATTGTTTTATGAAGGTGACAGTTTTATGACAATGAATAAGTTTAGATGTAAAAATTGTGTGGGTGTGCAATTATTTTCCAACATAAAGTTCTATTGGCAATTAGTAAATTATTGAAAAGTCAAGTAAATAAAATATTAAAATACAATCAATTAAGGACAATTTAAACACACTAAAACAGAAAACACTTAGAAGGGACGAAACAAACATTGAATTTAAAAGGGGGAACGACTTTAATGCACTACATCTCAGTCTAGGGCTCAATGAGTTTTTTTATGTTTTATCTATTAGATTTTAGTGGTAAATTTGACAGATGTAGGTTAGCACGTGACAGTTCTTCTTCTGTTTCTCAATACTGTAAGTTAAGTTATCTAGTTTTATAAAATATGCTGTTATTAATGAATGTCTATAAATTGTTTCAATTAAGATATCAAAAGTAAATTGATATGTTTAATATTGGCATACTTTAACAATCTTTAATTAATCAAATTTAATTTTATTTAATGTAACAATATGGATAATTGAAATACATCCTACAATATAACTAACTCAGTCTAATGTCCAAATTACTGAACAAATTAAAGTAATCCTTTGGCAACTGAACATGTACATTTTATAATCAAATGTATAATAAGTTTACAAAGTTTTATTTTCATTTGAAGTTTTTTTTTTGAAATTTTTGTAGGTGTGAGTTATCTGCCAGGGTGTTTTTTAATTATTTGAGATATTTATTTCAAATTCTGATATATTAATATCTAATATACTAATATGTAACCAAAGTAACAAATGGATAATTATTGATCGTAATTAATTTATGGGCTCAAGAAATTGACTGAATTATAAAGCCTTCGATAATTAGTTGGTAGTTCTAATATATGACAGTTGGAACCGGAAATTGTTATACGAACAGGTAGAATGATCCTATATTTAAACCAGTATAAAGTAAATTTATTCTTATTTCAATTTTCGGTGTCATATGAACAGATATTCCACACACCTACATGGACAATGGTGAGTTTGTACAATTGTTTTAAGTAACACTTTAAAATTTTTTTCAATTAATAGCTGTTTGCGAAAATTAATATTTCTATTTGAAATATAAATTTGTGTATAATTGCAATTAGTAAAGATGTATTCAATTAATACAGCTAGTCTGAACGATTACTAAAGTGAAAAAATTTTAAAGTGTTACTTAAAACAATTGTACAAACTCACCATTGTCCATGTAGGTGTGAGGAATATCTGTTCATATGACACCGAAAATTGAAATAAGAATAAATTTACTTCTATTCTATT